CGTCTACATGATTACCGATCTCGTTGTCTGCTCGACTTGCCCATGAGTGCGAGATTAGCACCAAGGCCGGCTTCAGCAAGCTGCTCCTAGTATACATGTACATCCAGCTTCCTGACGAACGTTAACACCATGATACCGCTTGGTAACAATTAGACACATTATGAACCCTTTCTTTACCTCTGCTCCAGAGGACATTTTAGTTATTGTTAAGCTTGGGTTATATATAGAGAAATGGGAGGATTTCTTCCGACCCTGAAGCAAACGCCTCCTTTTTGGCAGCTTTAATTGAATTTTCGTCGTTTCAAAATGGCGTTTCGATGCTTTTGCCGTTCTCTCTCTTCCCCACACTGCGGATAAACGCGGCAAGCGCTTTAGACGCCTCTCATTTACGTCTTTCAACGTCACGCCAGAAAACGAATTAGTTATATAGATAGCTCCACCACCCAACATTTCCCCCCTATAGCCGGACAATTTAGTTATTGCCGGCTGGCCCAATAGCGATAATAATATCTCCCATTGAATCTGCTTTCCCCCGCTTTCCGTGTATACATCCATACTACACATCACCAGCTAACAACCACATCCCTTCTTTCATCATCCCCCAACCCTAATCCCAACCCATTCTTTATTTGACATGGTGCGTCGAAGGGTCAACAATCAGGCCACGAGTCCCGTGGATGTCTCACCAGCTGTGGGCGAAGTATCAACGCCAGAGCCCGCAAGACGAAAGGAAGAAGACAATGAGCGTGGGCAAGGGAAAGGGAAAGGGAAAGAAAATACAGCTCCACGCTCATCTTCATCAGCGCATAGCTGGGTCGTCCTGGCCGTTGCGAGCGGCTTGTTCGCCGCGATGAATGGGGTATTTGCGAAATTGTAGGTTGTGATTTTCGATTCTTGGATTAGTCTTTGGTTTTTTAAAGGGGTTCGTTGCTTTTCCAGTTCTTTGCTTTCCTTACCTTTATTTTTTTGTTTTATGTTTTATTTTTTTTGTTTTTTGTTTCCCTTTTTGTCCGGATATACAAGCCAAGGAAGAATAATGGGTAAAGAAGCTGTACATATGCTTTCAACTTCCCACCCTCGTCCCACGCACAACAACATGGGAGTAGGGGAATAAAGGGGGCCATGGAGGGATTGTAGTGGCAACAAATGATAAGAATAAATAACATGTATAAAGCGAATCTCTCAACAATTGACACCAAGTCTATAAACATCTATCTACTTTGCACACCTACACAGGTCTTTATTTACCTTGGACTAACTAACCACCATCAAACCCAGGACAACAACTCACCTCACGACCGCCCTCTCCCAAACCTTATCCCGCCTTCTAAGCCTCCCTCCCGCCTCAGAGGGAATCGCGGAATATGTCACCCGCGCCGTAAGTCAAGTCCCAACACTTTCCCTCCAACACCACCCTATCCATCCATTCTGTGCCCATAAATAGAAATACTAACCACGGTCCATAACAGCTCTTCTTCGCCCTCAACGTCCTCTCCAACGGGGTAATGTGGGCTCTCTTCACACGAGCCCTCACGGCATCAGCATCGAGCACTAAAGTAACAATCACGAATACGACGGCGAATTTCTTGCTTACGGCATTGCTGGGGATGGCTGTTTTTGGGGAGAAGGTCGGTGGGCTGTGGTGGGTAGGAGCGGCGTTGATGGCGGCGGGATGTGTTATTGTGGGGATGAGGGAGGGGGGGACGGCGGCGAGTTAGGAGTGTGGATGAATGGATGTTGTATTGGTTTCAATTTGTAAATGGAGAAAATCAGCTGGTTGGTTG